GAACATGATCTTTACTTAATATCCTAATGATTTTTGTCATAAAAGAAAAATCTATAATTTAGACCCATACAATGTATTGTTGGCTATTGCTACAAATATACCCATCTACTTATGACTGTTTTTTTGTCCAGGGTCACATGTCGTTGATCACACTGTATCTCTTCACACAGGTGAAGATAAAAGAGCAGCCCATGAAAAAGAAGAAAGGCCTTGCAGCTAAGCGGAAGAGAAGAATTGGTGATGAAGACGAAGCAGAAGAGGAAATAAAACGTGAGGAGCAGCGGAAAGACAGTGAGGAAGATGAAGAGGAGGAGAAAGGACCTGCAGAAGACCCTCTGGCTACGTACAGCCATTATCAGCTCACAGAAGCCGTCATTGAGCTGATGCTGCCTGGAGAAACAGTGGCTGCTGCTCTAAGAAGACTTGGCGGTCTTGGAGGACAGAAGAAGAAAGGGAGACTGAGAGAAGGGGAGGAGGAGAAAAAAGAGACTTCGAACAGAGACGCTGGTAAACTGGACAAACTGACAGCATTGGCAGATAGACTGGTGGGGATTGGAGATTTCGAAATTTATCAGCAGACTTATGAAAAACTGGCCTACAAGTTGAAGGGGATGACTCGAGGAAAGGCAGCCAGAACACTAGAGGATGATGAAGAGGAAAAAGATGAGCTAGACATGTTCGCTGAAGAGTATGATGAGAAGCATGCTGCAGAAAAGGATGAGGATAAAGACAACAGCAGAAGTAAGTGATTGGACAAGGATGTGTTTTTAAAGTTGGCATGATTAGATACAATTTAAATATGAACTTTTGTTAGTAGTAGTGTAGCAACTTTTTGGAATGAGTCCTGAAAATTTTATTGCCAGTCGTCTTTTATGATTATTTGATTCATGGCTGACCCCTTGGTAATAGCAGTCATGTATTTTGTGTTTCTCTCTAGTCAGTGATGAGGTCATGTGGGAGTACAAATGGGACAATGAGGAAAACTCTGAGCACTATGGGCCCTTCAGCAGCCAACAGATGCAGGTAAGACATTATCGGTGCTTTAATATGAAACTTTAAATTTCAGAAGTAATTGACACATTATTTCTTATATTAAAATGGTTTTAAAAATGTAAACACTGATAGATTCATTATTGCTGTTTTATTTATTTATTTGGAGTGGTCTGACTTAGAGGCATTGGTTAAATAAAATATCTCCTTTTGAAGTGGACTTTGAGCTTTGTAACTTTGCAGATCTTTTTTTTTGCTCAAACAGCAACATTATAGACTAACTAAAGTTGAAAAAGCATAATAGGACCCCTTTAACCAGTGGCGGTTAATTGTAGATGGGGAAGAGTGGTTTGGGAACCAGTTTAAAAACATTTTTGCATTTATGTTTGGTGCTTCTTGTAGCAAAAAATTATATGCATCACCATTGAGTAAATGTTTGCCCCTTATTTGATGTTTAAGTATTTTTGATTAAGGATAAATGTAAGTATGTAAGCAAATACGTTTAAGTAAATGTGGCTGTATCTTTTATTCCAGGACTGGGTGGATGAAGGCTACTTCAAGGATGGAGTGTACTGTAGGAGGATTGACCAAGAAGGTGCCCCGTTCTACAACTCAAAGAGAATAGACTTTGAACTTTATACATGATCTGTTGATGAGTCATTTCACAGATTTTAATTGATTTCTTCTGCCCATCTGAAAGGGCTTCTCTGAATAATTGTTTACTCTTCAATAATTGTCTTTGTCTTATATACACACATACACTAGTATGTGCACCTGTGTTTGATACATGTGTTTTAAAATAAAGACTTTATGGCTGGATGATGATCCAACCTGGTGTTCTGGCTAATGTTACAACTATTCTGACGCATGCACGTTTACTGGATACACAATTTTAAAGAGTGCCGCTATTTTGTTTCAGGCAAGATTCAATATTCAAACCGCGGGGCTCCACATAAACCAATGAAAGCGTTGAAGTTCACACGGGGACAAAGACGGCTGTTCGTGGCCTCGCTATTGGTTGCATTTCTCCCTCCTGAAACACAATTGGTCAGTACGCTGGCGCTGAACAGTTCTAATTGGCTGAAATCTTAGACTTTACCCGAGGGGCGGGACATTCGCATACTTTGCGAGCTTCTGATTGGTTCTTCGACAGACCGGGAACACGCTCGCACCGATTGATAGGTCTTGAACAGTCAGTGCAATGGTGAATCTCGGGCGCAGTCCGGCATGGAAATGTCACACAAACATCGGTGTTTTAGAAACAACGCCTAAAGGAGATGCTTTCACAGCCTCACCGTACGTTTCCCCTCAGACGATTTTAGGTTAGTGTGTATCTTAGTTCTATAATTTTCATCTGTGTCTGAAGTATAAGATAGAAAAATACCCTTTTAATGCAATGTATTTGACGGGTTTGTGCGTAGATAGCAGCATAGCCCAGCTAGCCGCAATTTACGTCGACGACGTACACAAAACCACACCAGTGTCTGGGAACGTAACGTTACACTTCTAATAGAGCGGCTGCTGGGCAACGTAATTAATGACTAACTCCTGAAGAATTAGTACGGTTTCATCTTTTGTGTTTTGAGAATTTAGCTGGGTTATGGTTTGTTTTCTCCGTTCAAGTGTATGTCTTGAGATATGAGACTGCCGTTGTTTGATCTCTTCTCGGTACAGTAGTGCTGAATGTCGAGTCTATAACACATTAAAACGATGAGAAAACTTGTTATACTTCTGTTAAAAACATCTAATTCCATACTAAGTTTGATCTCCAAGCAAAATATTAGAAAACAAATTCTACCGGCTTTCGACGCAGTGCTGACCGTTAGTGAGCTCAACGCTTCGATGAGTAACAGTTTGCAAGTTAATTATCCTATTCGCCACTATTAATAACGTTAAATGCCCTGACGACAGAACCGCATTTAATCAAACACGGACAATATTATATTCTCACCGTACACAGCATCAGTGTGTGAGAACTAATTAAAGGGTTTCGATTTCTTTTCGGATTAGATTTATTTATTATTATTTTTATTGTATTTTTTGCTAGGCGTTTATGTTGTGTTGATTTGTCCTTTAGCTCAATGAAAGATTGGTAAGTCAGCATGTGAAATTAATAAAAGCTTACACGCGAATCAGTACTGTATTCACAGCCTTACACCAGTTAATACATCATTCAGTGGTCGTGAACGAGAAGATTTGATAAGATATATACACACACAAAAGCACATGACAGTATTATTACAATACAGTTACAGTACTACCTACTTCTCACACAGGTACCAAATGGAAACATTATGATCAAGACGTTATTTTGAAATATTTATTTTCAGAATCAGTCTTCATTTCTTCACCTTCATGTCATTCCAAACCTGTCTGATATTATTTCATAAACCGAGATCTTTTGAGAAATGTCTTGGTGGGCTATGTTGTTGTTTGGTCGCCACAGTATTCTTCAAAATACTTTCTTTTATGTTCCACTGAAGAAAGACAATCATGCGGGTTTGGAACGATATGATAATTTTTGAGTCCCTTTAATCATTCATTTAATCACTATCCCCGTAATTATTTGATCAAGATTTGTGTTTTTGGTAGACTAGGAAATATTGGAGAGCAGATGCTAAAGTATTGTCAAACAGACATTTATTATAGCTTTTTAACTTAAAAGTTCACTTTTTTAAGTTAATATGTTGATTAGTACTCTTATATAATTTGACACTAAACTGCGTTGCTTATGCATACCTTGTCTTTACTATGCACTATTGCATGTTTTGTGCCTGTTCCTAATAGGGGTATGCAGTTAATGTGACAATTACTGCATAAAGGTTATTTATTAACTCATTTTCATATTTAAATTGCAAGCTATAATTTTGTTAAACCTTTTCCTATCCTTTTGTTCATCCTTAATAAATTCAAGTGAAGTGGTTAACCAATGATCTGCTTGTTCCACTGTTGTGATGTTTTAGAAATAAGTGCGGCAAACAGAAAGAGTGGACTGCGTCTCGGGACTAGAAAAGAGACTCAACGATGAGGCTTATTCACCACAGTCTCAACACTTGAGCTCATCATCATGCAAGACGAAAACAGCATGGTAATTTCATGTTTTTGTCATCCCTCAGCACTTCTTTCACTGTTCTCCTTGGTCACTGCAACACAATTATCTGACTACTTCTTTATCAAGACTCAAGTCACAACTGTCGGAGCAAGCAATGGTTTTCTCAGTGAAGCTCGAGAAGCAGAGTTCCAGATGGCAAAATAAGACTTTATTGTACAGAGCAACAAAGCCGAGATGATAGTCACCGCATCTAAGTCTTTGTCCACCCAAGCACCTATACTTGTACCTTGTTCTTATCAATCTTTTTTAACCAAAAATTGGTATTTTTTTATTGGTCTCACTTATCTAGTTTGCCACAATTAATTAATGGTCCACCTGGCTAAATTCTTAACTGTGGAATCTGGTCAGATCAGCCATTTTTAAAATAACTTTTATTCTGCCGCCTTCTATTGGTTGGAGGTGTTCACATTGGACATACATCAAGCTTATTTGTGTTGTAACTGTCATATTGCAGAAATAACCCAAAGTTCATTGGTTGACTTGTGTTCACTGGTACAGTCCAGTGGAAAGAGCCCTAAAAAGCCCTAAAACTCACAGTCTGTAAGACATCCAGTATTGGAATAATCATCATATTGATCAGTCTATTGATTACTTTTATAACCATACATCATATTTTTGAGTAAAATAGCTCGTCATAATCATGAGGTGTTACTGTTATAAGAGTCATATGAAGGTGTCAGGGAGGGAAGACAGACACAATAGAACTAACAGTGGCACACCTTTGTGAGCCATTCAGAGAGAAAAATGCAAAAGTGGAGAAAAGTGTAGACAGTGAGTTGTAAAACCAAAAGGGGTGTTGTTTGGGTTTTGCACTTTACATCTAATCATTTAGTTCTGCCACTAGTCGACACACTGGTTCTATGATCACATGACTCCAGTTACGCTTGTTCTCTACGTGGTGACAGTAGGAGGAAAATTTCTCGTTCCCCAAACTTACCTAGTTTACCTGTAAGTAATTTATGTTGTTTAATATCAACTAAATGTATTTGGAATTACACAAAAGCAAAAAGTTAACCCAGGTATAAGAAATGTGGGAAAAATCTATCTTCACGGTTAATTAAATTCACTTTAATATCAGATGCTACTGACTTTTGTCTTTGTTCATATTGAGTGCAACAGTCGGGTTAAAAAAAACTCCTATTGTTTTTCTCCATGGTGAAATAGATTTTTAACATTAATGTATAAGCCCTTTGAATATTGATCCACCATGAACTCTTAGGTGTATACATATTTTCTTTTAAAGGGGTTATATGATGCGATTTCAAGTTTTCCTTTCTCTTTGGAGTGTTACAAGCTGATTGTGCATAGATAAGATCCCTGAAGTTGCAAAGACTAAAGTCTCAAAACCAAAGAGATATTCTTTATCAAAGTTAAGACTCTGCCACGCCCCCCTAAAACGGCTCATTCTAACACGCCCCCACATATCTACCCCACTATGTGGAAATATTTGCATAATGCACCCAAATGTGCACGCAAAGAAAGAAGGCATGGTTTCAGTAACCGCAGTTAGTGTTGAAGCAGCCATGTCAGGGAGACGAAGGAGGGGGCTTTGTAGAAAACGAAGCGTTTGAGAGAGGCGGGGCATAGAGGACCTACAATAATGTACAGTATTTGAAAAATAATGTGTTTTTTGAACATTAAAGCATGTCAACATATTCTGTTACACCAAATACACAAAATAATGATCTTTAAAAAAGCATCATATGACCCCTTTAACTTCTTTTTCTGACTTTATTAAAAAAAAAGTTAAATTACTGGTGAATAATTATCCTAGCCATAATCCTAAACTGCTCAGCAATACCTACACACCAGTGAAGCTTTGCATGGGTTGTGACTTGTTATCAGTAACTACAAGATTTTAGTAGTTTTATATTATACATATACATCCAACCCTCTACGCACACCTTGGCAATATAATCGCCATTGGCTAGTACATTTTTTTGTTTACTCGCCAGACTGATATACTATT